GGCGGCTGTGGGCAGGGAGCCCGGCTCGGCCGCCAGCACTAAAGATGGAGAGGCGCCGGGGCCTCGCATGGGAGGGGGCTCGGCGTTGACGTGAGACGCGGCGGAGGCGCCGAAGCCGGTGGTGATTTGCTAACCTCGCAGCAGAGAGGAGTTGAGGGCGATGAGAGCGGGTACTGCGAACTGCCGGGCGATGCCGCCGCTGCCGCCGTGATACCGAGAGCAACAGTTCCCCAGCAACACCCTTCCCCGACACAGGCACACACCCCCCCAAGAGGCACGCACACCCACCCCGCAGCGCCCGGCTTGGCAGCGGTGAGTTAGGGGCCGGGGAGGGTCGCACCGCCCAGCGAGAGCCGCGCGCCAGGGCGCCCTGGGGCTGGAGAGGTCTGGGGGCGCACTCGCTTCAGCCGCTCGGCCGCTGGGCTTGTGCCTGATTATTCGGCTTGTTCCCTTCTGGCTGCTGCAGCCGTCGCCACCGCCGGCTGGGGTCGACTAGAAGGGGGAGCCCCGGCTGTCAGCTTGGGCGCAGCTGCTACCCCAACCCTTCCGCACCAGGGCACGGTCGGGGTGAGAGATAGGGGCAGAGCGGTCTGTAGGGGCTGAGGGCGCGTGCGGAGGATTGGGGATCGGGAGGCTTTGTACCGCCGGGGGCCGGCGGAGGAGCTGGGAGCCGGTGGGCGCTCATATGTATGCGGACCGGTGCGCGGGCACGAGGTAGGGTTGTGGTTTGTGTGTTTATTCGCCAGCCGGCTGGGAAGCTAGAATCGGAGGATCTGAAGAGTGGACCTGGGGGCAGAGGGGAGCAGGAGTGGGACTCGCTTGGGTTTTGTTTTTCTTTGAAAAAACGTGGTGAGTCCTTTTTATATTTTTTTCATTGGACTTGATCCCCCTTTTTAAGGGGGGAGGGGCGGCCGTGGCGGAGCACCGGAGGGTCTTCAGGGCTCCGGGCCCTCCTCGGCTCTCGGCGGGACCGGCCGTGGCGCCGGAGCTCGCTGTGCTCTTCCGGCCGCATTGGGTGGGTGTCCCGGCTTTGCACCTGATGCGTTCGGGATGCTTTCCCTACCCCGGCGCACCGGCAGCTCGCACGCACCGTCCCTGGAGCACTGCCGCACGCGCTCGAAATGCGCACCGTTTCATCGGCCCGCGGACCCGCTGGAACGCACAGACGCACAGGGCAGCGACTCACTGGTCCGCTCCCCGGGACGTGCGCACGGTGCCTGGGCCGGGCAAGTCGGCTGCTGGAGGCTCCGGCCCCGCGGCCTGGGACCCTGCCAGTCGCTCCCGGGGTCACAGCCCTGGGTCGGAGAGGGAAGGCTGGCCGATCCCTTCTTGCCTTACCTCCAACAACTCGCTCCTTTTCCTCCCACAACTCTCGGTCCGGCTTTTGTGCTTTCCTTTCGCGGCGGGGTGGGTCCGCCTGCTAGCCGCTCTCGCCCAGGCGTCCAGCCCGCCCGGACTCCGCTTTTCGTCCGGGTCTCTTTCGCTTTTTCCTCTTCCCTTGCCCCACTCCCGCTCCTTCTGCCGCCTGGTTCCCCGGGAAAAGTTGCTTCCCCAAGTTTGCCGAAGACGTTTCCAACTCTCCGTGGGGGTGGTTGCAAACTAGGGGTGTGTGAGAGCGTGATCGATTCCCGGAGCTCCAGCGGGTTAGCGGCGGCTTTCCACCGCGGCGCCGGGCTGGACGCTGCAGCCAGCGCCGGCCCGATTGCGGGCGCTGAGAGGTGGGTCGGGGGGACGGCTGACCGAGGGCACCCTGATTTCCCTCAGGACCTAAGGAGCTTACTTTCTGGAAGGAATTCGGGTAGCCCAGCTTCCATTCTTTCGATTGCTTCCTCTTAGTTCTCTGAAACCCCTAAGTCTTCGGGAAAGCGCATATTAGCCTGGCGATGAATGGTCATTCTACTCTTGATGGCCTAAGGTCCCATCCCAGGCTGGGCAGCAAAAGTGTCTTGATCAGCAGTCCTATTAACCCTTTCTGCATGAGATTTGTGGCTCTGGAACCAGTACGGCTCCTTCTGGGGGCTTCAGCAAGTAGAGCTGGAAGAGCGAGAGAGAACCCTTGTTCTGCTTTGCTCCTAGTTCATATCACTGAAATATTGGCCACAGCAAGGCAGAGGCTGGGAAGCGCCTGGGCCTGTGAGGTCTTTTTAACACTCTTTAAATGGTTCAGGAGTCCCAGAACCCTGTTACTGATCTTGAACAGCACTCTGGGAGAGAGGCCTTTGTCTCCCAGCCCTGCCTTCCCTTGGTACTGGTTGTAACTCATACCATAGATGCTGGTGCCAATATTGCTTCCAGCACCTCCAAGCCATGTCCAGCATCAGTTGCTGCTCCTAGTCATAGGACTTGCCCACTCCTAGGAGCCTGTGGGACACACCTGCTGTTCATGTACCCAGCATGTACACTCTTAGCTGTAAGGGTGCATATTTCTTATGCTCTCTCTTCTTAGGTTCTCCGTGACCTGTTGTACATTTTATAGATCTTCCTGTCCACTGGGCACTTGCCAGTAGGGGGTAAGTGCAGCATCTTATATAAGTATGCACACATGTGTTAACTCTTTCCCTTACTGGCTGGTGTGTATGCATATGCACACACACACACAGTCCAGATTTTGGATTACATATACAATAATCTTGAGGCACCTATGGGTGGAAGTGACCCAAGCTAGTGTGTGAGTTATGGGTGTGTGTTCCTGTTAGTGCCAACAAAGGGGATCAGGGAGTGGGTCTATGGGTCCTTTGCAGCCCTGAGAAGAGTGGAAAGACAGAGGCCCAGGAAGGCACTGGCTGATGGTGAGAGGATGGGCCTGGAGGAGGAGAGCCCTTGCCCATAGATTTTTGTGGGCCAGGACTGCAGGCTACTAGCCCAGCTGAGCTTGACTTTGCTCCTGGGGCTACCACAGTGAAGCACAGTTTAGAAAAACTTTGTTTTGAAGATGAGTTTGATAGTGAAATTGAGTGCTTTAATTGACTAAAGGAAAGGCTTCAAATCTTACTAATTTTCAGTAAATGCTGCACACCTCCCCATAGCAAATGTTGGCCTTGCACAGGATCTCCCCACTCTCAGACTTAAAGCTCAGGACCCAGAAGACTCCACTGTAATTTTCACTTTAGTAGTAGCTGTCATAGAGCGAGAATTGGGCATATGCTATGGCAAAAACTTCTCTTTGTTCTCATTCATGGGCTTGTAAAGGCAGACTCCGAGATTTCTAGGAAGCCCCCTTTCCTCCATTCAAATCTCCAGGATTCTCTCGCTGGCTGACCTGGAGGGGTGTGCTGTGTTGTATTGTTTGAATTTTTACTTTTAGGGGCACTGACTATTCTACCTTTTGTTCTCTTATCTCTTTTGCCTCTCCTCCCTCTCCCCCCCCCCTAGCCCTCTCCGTTGGCCCAGGAAACCCACCCTGCCCCATCACGCAGAGCCAGGAAGAAAAGAGAGCCTCATGCCTAAGCCGCGGGGAGCACCATGGATCTGACGAAGATGGGCATGATCCAGCTGCAGAACCCCAGCCACCCCACAGGGCTCCTGTGCAAGGCCAACCAGATGCGGCTGGCCGGGACGCTGTGTGATGTGGTCATCATGGTGGACAGCCAGGAGTTCCACGCCCACCGGACAGTGCTGGCCTGCACCAGCAAGATGTTTGAGATCCTCTTCCACCGCAACAGCCAGCACTACACTCTGGATTTCCTCTCGCCGAAGACCTTCCAGCAGATTCTGGAGTATGCATACACAGCCACACTGCAAGCCAAGGCCGAGGACCTGGATGACCTGTTGTATGCGGCCGAGATCTTGGAGATCGAGTACCTGGAGGAGCAGTGCCTGAAGATCCTGGAGACCATCCAGGCCACGGATGACAATGACACGGAGGCCACCATGGCAGATGGTGGGGCTGAGGAGGAAGAGGACCGAAAGGCTCGGTACCTCAAGAATATCTTCATCTCGAAGCATTCCGGCGAGGAGAGTGGGCATGCCAGTGTGGCTGCACAGAGCCTCCCTGGGCCCATGGTGGACCAGAGCCCGTCAGTCTCCACTTCTTTTGGTCTTTCAGCCATGAGTCCCACCAAGGCTGCAGTGGACAGTTTGATGACCATAGGACAGTCTCTCCTGCAGGGAACGCTTCAGCCGCCTGCAGGGCCTGAGGAGCCGACTCTGGCTGGGGGTGGGAGGCACCCTGGGATGGCTGAAGTGAAGACGGAAATGATGCAGGTGGATGAGGTGCCCTGCCAGGACAGCCCTGGGGCAGCTGAATCCAGCATCTCAGGTGGCATGGGGGACAAGGTTGAGGAAAGGGGCAAAGAGGGACCTGGGACTCCAACTCGGAGCAGCGTCATCACCAGTGCTAGGGAGCTGCACTACGGGCGTGAGGAGAGTGCTGAGCAGCTGCCACCCCCTGCTGAGGCTGGCCAGGGCCCCCCAGGCCGACCAGAGCACCTGGCGCCCACAGCCGAGAAACATCTGGGCATCTACTCTGTGTTGCCCAACCACAAGGCTGATGCCGTGTTGAGCATGCCGTCTTCGGTGTCCTCTGGCCTACACGTGCAGCCCGCCCTGGCTGTCTCCATGGACTTCAGCACCTATGGGGGTCTGCTGCCGCAGGGCTTCATCCAGAGGGAGCTGTTCAACAAGCTGGGTGAGCTGGCCGTGGGCATGAAGTCAGAGAGCCGGACCATCGGGGAGCAGTGCAGTGTGTGTGGGGTGGAGCTTCCTGACAATGAGGCTGTGGAGCAGCACAGGTAGGTCCCTCACCAGTCCAGCCTGACACCCCAGCCCCAAACTCCTGACACCCTGCCTTCATACCCAGCTGCTCCTGGGTCTTGGGGCCTGGCTCCCATCCTCCCTGCTATTTGTAAAAAACCACTTCTTTCTAAGTCCTGAGGATGGGGGCACACTTTGCAAGTGTGGCGAGAGGGTCTTGGGTCTTTCCTAAGCACTGGGGAACTCATGGGCCCAGCTTTCTACCAGCCTCTTTCCCCTTTATGCTTTTGGGCTCTTGTTTGCTTTTTTTTTGCTGTTGGGTCTGTTCTCCTTTGCCTAGAGTGATTGATAAAGTGGAGGGAGGGAGAAGAGGTAGTGGGATTGAGGATGAAGGTCTCCCATGGCCTGGAATTGGCCATGTTGCCAGGTTTCAGGTACCCAGGTTCCCATCAATGGTTTGTGCCAAGGCAGGCTGTCTGCAGCTCAGGAGGATGAGAGGGACTGGATGCTGCTTAGGCCACAGGAGCAGCTGTGAACATTCGTCACCGGGAACGTGGTTCTCTCTCTCTCCCTTCTCATTCTCTGTCCCTGCAAACACATTTAGAAGGAGATGATTTAAATTCAAGGGGGAAAGATAGGTATGGAAGTCTTGGTTTTGCAACCTGCAGAGTCTTATTCTTATCCCATCTGTGCTCACGTTGAGTTAAATGCCACTTCGGGCCAGCATTGGCTTCCCTCTGGCTTACGTTCCCTTCTCTGTGAAATAACTATCCACTGAGCTCTTACGACATGCCTGGTTCAATACTAAGTGCTTTATGTGGAGTCACATTTTTGTTACAACAGCCCTCTGAGGTAGGTTCTTCTTTTACGTGGGAAGATACTGAGACTTTTTCCCAGGATCACAGAGATCGTAGGAGGCAGAGCTGGATTCAAATCCCCTTGCTCTTTGCTGCCTCTTGGTGTCCTTCAGTCCTGAAGAGGATCGTGCCTGTAGAACAGAGGATTTTGAAAATTGCTCATCAGAAGTGGAGCAAATATGGAGGGAATCAGTAGAGCGTTTGGTGTTCACCTGCCTCTGTCATAACGATATGCCCATCATTTTACCTTCTAGCTCCTGGGTCAGATGAATGGTGTCAAGAAATCCAGTTTCTGTTGTCACCATGATAACATTTCCTTGCACACCCTCTTCCCTGCTCTTTGGCTGATCATGGGGGCTTCTCCACTTTTGCATGCTTCTCTGCTTACCCCATTCCTCTGTTTCTCATTCAGTACAGGACGGGTGAGAGGGTGTGGGGTGGAGGGGGAGGCATCTGGAGGTTGGTCTGATTACCCGGAACTGCGCCGGAACCTGCTCTGACACTGCTTAATCAGTGGCTCTGAGACTTAACCTTGTGGAAAGTGCTGTTGAGCTAAACGTAGCCGACTTTTTTCCCCGTGGGTGCAAAAAATAACTGCCACTCAGGTATCTTCATGTTGTTTGTACCGCTCAGAAATAGACCGAGGTTGTGTTTGTTTTTGCTCAAACTTTCCTAAAGAGGAAACCCTCTCCCCAAACTTGACCAGACAGGCTTATCATCTTCTCCGGATGTGAATTATTTCAGTTCTGTACTATGAGAAATGTGTTATAGTGGAAAGTAAACCTTTTTCTGGCTCTCCTCAGGTCCTGGTTGCTTCTCTTTACCATTGAGGGCTACAAAAGACATTACCCTGCCAGGAGTCCCAGATTCCCATTCTGTAGGACCCTCGGTCCTCTGGGGAGAGGCGGAGGGCTGGCTGTGTTATACAGAACACCGGTGGTGAAACTAGAGCTTGGGGTAGTTTCGGAACCTTTCTGAGCCTGTTTTACACTTTTTAAAATGGAGATGGCCTTCAGGGCGTGGTGTTGGATTAATGAAGTAATATCTAGAAATTCCTAGAGCTGTGACTGGCACATAGTAACTGAAGGTGAAGAACAGACCCTTCTGTCCCCCATCTTGTTTGGGCCTCATCTCTGCACAATTCCCCTTGGCTCCAAGTTCTAGTGTATAGTGTCCACAGCGCTGCCTGCCACCAGGGCTGTGTTGGCCGTGGGGCAGTGCCGAGAATGTCCCTGTCCTTGTGGACTTGTGATGATGAGGCGCTGGTTCTGGAATCCTTGGTGTCACGCTGTGGGCTGCTGACATGGAGAATGTGCTTTTGACTGAGGGTGGAAAGTAAGCTGCTGCAGCCCAAGAAACTGGAGCCTGGGGCAGTGCCTTGGGTGGAAAGCTGTGGGGGTCTAAAGAAATCAAGGAGGGGACAAAATGTTCCTGTGCGTGCTCAGTCCTCGCTCTGACTGGCAGCCCTTTGGCTCCTGATCAGAATGCCCTTTGTGGGAGGCCTTTCCCTCTCCCTCAAAGCTCCTGGATTAAAGTGCTACTTCCCTGTTTCCTACTGTTCTCTGTTCCTCCCTCCATATCCCCACTACCAGTAAAAACAAAAAGGCAAGACAAACAATCAGAATGGGAGATTCTGATGTCAGGAGACTGTGGAATTGGCTGTGATATAACAGTGATGAATGTTGAAGTAACTGTTGAAGTAGGCTTCAGGTTTTATTTTGAAGCCCATAGGCTAGAGTTGGTAAAGGTTAATACCTTGCAATTATTGCTGCTTTCCCTTTTTTGGAGGAGCAGAAGGGCATGGCGAGGAAGGGAAGGGAGAGTGCTGGAAAACCATGCAGGAAGGAGAGTTTGTTATGTTGGGGTGTCGGAAAAGTCATGATGTATTTTTTCTGTTTTTCATTGCAAAAATGCGTCATGACTTTTCCGACACCCCAATAGAATCCCATCGATAGGTTTCCTCATGACTTGGTCCCAAGCTGGTGAGCGAGGAGCCTGTTGGCACGACAGAAAGTTGGAATGAAAATTAGTGAAGTTGTGGTCCCTGCGGGACAGGGTGAGATGTAAAAGCTATGTCACACGGAGTCATGGATTTATGGAAAGACCAGACAAGGACACTACTTGGGTAAATCAAATGGGGCTTACTTACCTAAAGGATCCAGAAGGGGAAGACAAAGCAGTCAGAAGACCTGAGAGATCAGCACCATGCAGATGGAGGACCAAGCTCTGGACCCCAAAACCTTCCTGAGTAGGCCCATATTACAGAGGATCATGTCTGAGGGAGAGAGGGTCTTGTTCAGTTTCTGAAGATTGGACTCATCTCCTCTAGGCTCAGTCTTCTTTCTCTTTCTCTTTGAAAGGCTGGAGCAGCTCTGCACGTAGGCTTGTTCTGTATCTAATCTAGGGACCTGCTCAAATGGGCCAGGTGCACCTTCTTATTCTCAGAGTTACATACATATGTGATAAGATTACAGGGAACCGTATGGTTGACTTAAGTGTGAACACAGTTCTCATTTATAGCCCTCAGTCTCTCTGGGCTGATGCAGCCTGGTCTTGATAGGTTTCTGAATTCAGTGCTGCAGGATCGGGGTGGGTCTGGTTTTATAGGCCTTCCTCTGTATCTTCTACAGACAAGCTCTTAGACCAGCTACAGTGTGTGTCCTGCAGGAACTCTGGCCTGGTTCTTGAAGGGATGCTCAGGAACCGTGAGGAATGGTCTCAGCCAGCTCCCTGGACCCGTGTGTGCAGCCCTTTTCAGAGGCTTCTTGGGGCCAGCTCTAGAGTGCATGAGCCATGTAGTTGAGATGTCAGAGTTCTGACTGGCCCCTTGCCATGGTCTCTCTCAGGTGGCCAGCTGCTCTGTTTTCAGTAGTTGACCGTGTAGAGGGCCAACAGCCAGGGACCTTGGTTTTGGCCACTTTGGGAAGTTTAGAAGTTGCCCTGAGCTCTTGGTCCCCTTGCATCATTCTGCCAGCTTTAGTCACCTCTGAGGTCAAACCTTTTTTGGAAAAGAGTATGCTGTGGAATAATGATAGCAACGGCAATAATGTTAATAATGCCTTGTATCAGTTGTAGCACTTTCTCCTTTGCAAAGCATCTTTAATGACTATTAACATCACAGCCTCCCCTAACGGGGGTGCAGGTCCATCATTCCACATCTGTAAAGTCTGAGAAGTTCTGAAAGCTAAAAGGTTTTGTGTAAGTTTGCAGCAAACTCATTTCGTGGCAAAACCTGATCTGAACCGATGTGAGCTATATTTATCCTGTCTGTATTGAATATTCATATGTTTTGCTGCAAAAATATTAATGTGTTTGATTACAGAGTGCTTCCTTAGACTCCTCTGGGACTGGGCAAACACTGTCAGCCCCATAGTACCTTTCTAAAATCTGAACAACTTGGATTTCTGAAGCACCCCAGAGTTTTGGCTAAGGGATTGTGGACCATTATCAGCCCCAAGTTACAGATGAGGAAAATGAGCTTTGGAGCCCGTAAGTGACTTGCCCAAGGTCACATAGCTATAAATGGATAGAACCAGGAGCTCAGCTCGACTTCTAATTCACAGCCCAGGGTGCTCCACGCCAGGCCATATAAGCACATGGCCGTTGCTGTTCTGGGTCAGATCCATCTGACCTAGTCTTTGGTTGCCAACTCCATCCCTGAGATACCACCATTGGAGGCTACAGCTATCTTCCTTGACGTCAGTCCTAAAGGTCAGGTGGCGCCTAGCTTCTCTCAGTAGCTATTTATGGCTGATCTGTCATTCACAGATTTGCCCAAATCCTTTCTGAATCCATTTCTATTTCCAGGAAGTATCCTTTGGGGGGTGATGAATGACTTAAGTTTATAACCTCCTGGGCTCCTGGAAATCTAGTCTTTTGGAGAGGGCATTGGTTGTGGAGATAGGAAAATGGCAGAAGGCTTTGTGGTGTGCTCAGCCGTCGTGGAGGCTGGGCCTCTAGACCCAGCTCTGCATTTATTTTTAGCTCTGTCACCATTGTCAGCCTCTTTTTCATCCCGAGCTTTAATTTCTTCAAAATTAAGTGCCTTGTAAATTTAGGCACTTGGACAAGCTGTTTCTGGATTGTTGAGCTCTTTAAAAAAGTTCTTCTTTTACCACTTGTACGCCTACTCATATCTTCATGAAATCATTTTGGTTAATTGAATTTTGCTCTGTTTTGGA